TTGGTTTATGTTATTCTTTCATTTTTTCTCTTCAAGATTTCTGCAGCAATGATAGGGAGTTACAGACACTCTTCTAGTCAAACTACCCTTGTTAACTCCATGTGAAATTTATGACAGCTTGAATTGTGGAGTGTGTGCTGCACCTTGGCCAAGAAGTTTCTAGCTCTGGGTAATATTAGGTTGGTGCAAATGTAATTGTGATTTTTTTGCCATTAAAAGTAATTGCAAAAACCACAACTACATTTGCACCAACCTAATATTAACCCCCTGGCCTGGTCCAGCCACTTAGGTCTTTACTGAGGCACATGGAGTTGGGTGTTGGTCTCTATCTCAACCCCAAAGGGAACAGCAATATAAGTCTGGTCTTCAGAAACCTAAATTTAAGAGAAGATATTATATAAACAAGAACAGCATCAAAAACAACACGGACATTCTTTTTCTTAAAAAATCCATTTATGTTATTTATGTCCTGTGACTGTCACCAGAACATATTCTATGAAAAAAGTAAGGAAAGTATTACTTTTATGCTATTTATGAGGATGCTGAGATTTAGAATATTTAAAGCATTGCCCAAAACTTCAGCCTTGTTTTGACAATGGCAGGTGCTCAGTGGAAGTTTATGAGAACCTACACCAGTCAATGGGCTGACTGACATTGACCAAGAGAAAGGGAGAAGGTCTTACCAAGCAACCAGGAACCAAATGAGGATTTCTGGGAATATCTTTTTTCTTTTAATGCACAACCACTGTCTGTTTCTAATGTAGGATAGTCTCAGCAGTGGCCTGAATTTTTGATCATAAAGTGGGGAAGGGGAGTGTTATAACGTGATGGAAGAAAAATGGGAGTCACAGAGGTGGAAATCTGCTTTTGTAATAATACACAATGCTATAATTGAGAATGTATGGTGAAAGAAGCACAATTATCTTTCTGCGTGAACTTACGAGTCAGGCATTGGCTAGGACAGAGAAGATTTGGATTCAGAATCTGACTCTGCCATGCCACAGTTGACAGACATCTCACTTAAGCATTCCACATCAGTTTCATCACCTGTCAAATAAAGGATCAAATTAACTATAAGGACCCACAGAGCTTCAAAATTGTGTAATTCCATGTCTTATTCCCTTGGAAGACCTCAAGATTACAATAGATTTGGCATACTTAGATTATCAGCCAGAAAGTAACCCTAACCCTACAATAGAAATTTGCTTTTGTGATTATAGGGGCTGAGAATTTCTATGGTCTCTTATCTGCAAGCTGGAGACCCAGAAAAGCTGGTAATATAATTTGGTCTAAGTTGGAAGGCCTGAGAACCAGGAAAGCCTATAGTGTAAGTCTTATTCCAGTTCATAGGCCTCTGGTCCATGAGTGCTGATGTATAAGCGCAGGATAAGATAGATGTCCCAGCTCAAGAAAAGAGAACAATGTCACCTTTCTTGTGCCTTTTTGTTCTATTCAGGTCCTGATGAATTGGATGATCCCCATCCACATTCTTAAGAGAAAGATCTCAGCCTACAAATTCAAATGCTAGTATCTTCTGCAGACATTCTCACAGACATATGCAGAAATAATATTTTATTAGCTACCTAGGCATCCCACAGCCCAGTCAAGTTGTCACATAAAATTAGTCATCACCTTCAGGAGGACAACAGCATCTTAGACAGTTTTAATTTGGGGAAGATCACCAAAATCTACATTACAACAAAACTTCAACCATCACTTTGCCATTGCTTAACCATATACCTTTATCAAGTAGATTGGAATACAAGGCCCATAAAGTCTTTTCCAAGGTCTTCATTATTATGTAGGAGATTTAGAACTAATGTCCAAGCTTCCCGACTTCCAGGTTAATCTTACCTCTTAGGTGATGCCCTCATCAGACCACTTCTACAAGTCAGAGCTATGGCTAAGACATCAAATATTCACACCCTGCAGACTGTCTACCACCTAGTGTAATCACCACTCTACCACTACAAATACTTTTTCCCACAATGACATACATAAACATATACTTTTACACACACTCATGTAGTCACATGTACACTCACAGAGGCACATCCATTCACAAACAGCCTAGCACATTCATGAACGCACACACACCTCACTCAAATATAATCATGCACACTCTCATTCATACATGGACACATGCACACTTATATACAGGCACATACACAGTTCCAATTGGTTGGCATAGAACACATTTCTTTTTCATTCTTATACTTGAGAAATTCATATTCATTCTTAAGAATTTGATTCTGGGAGTCGCTCTTCTCTGACTGCTCCCCAGAGACGAACAGTGCATCTTCTGTGTTACTCAAGACAGTTCATAAGTTTCTCTTATTTCATGCATTATATTCCACCGTTTTGTGCAATTTCTTTTTTGTAGCACCATGTATAGTATAACCGTCTTCTAAAAAAGCAACATATTTTTCTTTCGTTTCTTTGTAACCTACCAGAGTACTTGTCATAATAAGCATTTCTTAAACTGAAATAAACTGATGATTCTGTGTTACAAGTAATACAGAAGAAAGTATTCTAGGAGATGAGGCAATACATATGGTCCTACTTCTTGAGCTATGTCCCTTCACCTTGCATTCTTGCCTAACTTTGCAGTAGAATTGCTGTAACTCACTCATTCATTTAAAGAATGTCGCAATCACTGTATGATAGATGATGTGCCAAGTGTACTGAGGGTAACAAATCTGAGTGTTAAATATCTTGTCTTCAAGAAAGTTGCCATCTGGGTTAAGAGTAGGGTAGAGACAGAAGAATGCAACAATTCATTGAATACTGCCATAAAAAGAGAGACCTAAGTGAATAAAAAAGGAGCCCTACGGATATCCAGAGAAAAGGAAAGGATAATTTGGGAAAATTCTATGTAAGCTTCTGGCCTCTGCTCCTGATTGCCAGCCTCCAGCTTCCACCCCTAGTATTGATCTTTAATCTGTTCTTAGAAGAAAGGCTCCTTACATCCCAAGTCCTAGAGAGACCCTCACTCACAGGAGACTAATATGATCTATCTATTACCACTGAATCCCACCATATGTAACTCCACTTCAATTCTGGCACAATTTTGCACTGCAGAATACAAGTCAGGTTCAAATAATTTCATATGCTGGCTCTCTTGTTCGATATTTCAAGACAAGACATACCAAGGAAAGACCAAAATGCCAGACATACTGGAAAACCCATTTAGCTCAAGCTATTAAAAAATTTAGATGTATTCAAGAGTGAAAGCCTAGGACGAAGAGAGGAAAATGCAGTGAAGAGATAAAAATAATGGTTTTTGACAGAAATGAATGAGAAGATGAATTGAGCCATAGACATAGAGGAAAACAAGAGTAAAGAAATGCTTGAGAACATTCTCCTGCCACCTTCCTCTGCGAGTCTTCAGGGCCTACAAGGGCAGCAGAGACTGGTGTTTACAGTTATTTATGTCAACAGAACCTGAATGTTCTCTCTTCTTTCTCTCTGTAGGGCACTGAGTTTCCTTGAAAGAAAGGATGGTTGCTGTTTAGAAAAGCAAAGAGGCCTAGGTGAGTGTCAGAAACACTGGGAAGGCATAGACATGCCCACTGTCTCCCCCAATCTCACTACCATTTCTACCTCTTTATAGCCCACACCCTAGCTGACCTCTGTGCCTGAACTGTGGTGTCATGAAGGAAAGTTTATTATTCAAGCTTGAGGAAAGCTACCAGCACATGAAACACGGGAGAATGAATGCAGCATCCTAACAGCTCTCTGGAAGACAGATGCCCCTCATCATACTCTCCAGGGGGCAGAATCTGGTCAGGGGAAGTGACAGGGCTCAAGAGGGGCCAGGTCATTGTATGGAAATTTATTATGATGGGAAAAAAGGAATATTAAAATAAGATAGAAAGGGACCACAGAGATCAATTTTATCTATATCTTTAACGTCCATCCCCTTTTCCTCCACTAAACCCTTCTCTGCTTACTTCCCCATGTCATGTCTGCTCATTTGTTTCAATGATCAGAATGCTTTCTTCAGAAATACTCATGCTGCTGGATCAAAAATGGTGACTCTGCTCTTCTTGATACATTATTCTCTCCTTGATGCCTGTGCTAACAAACATACCCACCTCCCCCCCCCACACAAACACACACCACTACCACACACGCTTGCCTTGCAGGTTGATGACATGGATTAAACAAATGTTTATCAATTGCTTTTGTGACTTCTAAGCATTTTCATGAACGTGCCCAGGAAAGTCTCACACGTTAGGCATTATTATTGTCACTGTATCACAGATGAGGAAACCAAGTCATGGAAGAGAGCTAAGTCGGTCAATAACATCACAACGGCTAGTAAGTGAGTTTGGATTTAGGCTTTTGATCTCATATTGCATTTGTTCAAGCATATAAGTTTGCCTTTGATATTATCTTACCTCGTTACCATGGCTTTAGGTCAAATTTTTTTCATGATATCTTTCTAAATAAATCAATCTACACAATAATCTTCTTTTAAGTATGCTGTGATGATAATAATTATAATTTTAGAAATTATATAGTCTGATTATCTTTTGTGGTATATAGCAAAGTAATATATAATCACTTATAAAAGTTTTACTTTTACTTAAGAGATACTGAGTGTTAACCATATAAGTCAAATTATTTCTTGACAACGTGCTTATCACTTCCAAACAGAATTTCTTGTCTACTAAGCTTTGAGGCACCAGGCACACTTCCAGGGAGTGCCTATAATTTTCTAGTTAATCCAAATAAATATTTTATTTCACCAACCATATCATAAGCTTTGGAAGACAAAAATTATCCTTTGTATTTCCTGTATTCTTGCATAATCTACCACGTCCTTATCTCTGTAGAAGCTGGGCACATAGTATGTGTGCAGTGAAATCCAGCTACCTGAGTCATAACAAGTTAAATATAAGTCATTAGCTTTATTAGTGCCTTCTGCTGTTGTTTTGGTGGTTACTGCATCTCAATTTCAGTGTGTTTCTGTTTCTCAGATGCTTAGAAAATGCCAAGCCTTTCAACTCCCAGGATTTTTGGCAGATCAGCATTTGTGCCAATTTTTAAAGAGGCTGAGAAAGCTTATTGTGAAGAATGATTTTTAGTTCTATTTTTTTCATCTGCTAATGTTGTGTGTTCAGCCAAAGCATGAACAGCATCCCACCAGCCATATTGTACTACATTATGAAATTGAGAATTGCATTAACAGGATAATCTCATAGATATTTCCGAGACAGGAGAAATGTGCGCAATCATTTTCTAAAGGGCAAGGAGAAAATGGCATCCAATTGGACAGCAGTTGATACCGGAAAAGAAGAGTCCAGCCCAAGTGAGCGTCTGGGCTCCTTTCTGTGACAGACGTCACCCTCCCAGCCAGCCTGCCAGTGCCCCAGCAGCATATGCTGTAATCTGGAAGATGCGGTTTCTAGTTACCAACCTGATATCTCTCTGCAGCATGAAAATGAAGTGACTAATGTCAGGTGAGTATAAAAATTTCCTGGAAAGGTTTGCCTTTAACAGAAGTTGACAGCTTTAAATTTTTGTTATGTTACATGAACCAAATTTAAGAAAGTTTCTATTTCTTGGTATGAGGAGTTATAGCTATTAAACTACCTCTAACTTTCTGAGAAATAAAACAAAATGATTTTACTTCCTTCATCGACTTTGGCATTTTTTAAGTCAGAAATACCTGGGTGTTTTGAGAAAGCAGTAGAAGGAGTAAACCTCCATACTATTTTCCCAAGCGTTACCCAAATCACCAAAGAGAGAGTAGAGGGCAGAGTGGAGACAGACGTTTACCAACACCAGATCTAAACCCTTGCATGTGTCATGTGATAAGACCAAATCAAAGAAAGATGGCAGGACAGACAAAGGGCCATTCCTGTCTGAGTGGGTCTTAGTAATGAAAATTAGGGACAAGGGTTGATGACATGAGTAGACAATGGGAAATATGAGTCTGCTGCTTGAAAAACCTCCTCCCTCTAGATTCCTCTGCCTTTCCCATGCCGATATTAATTAATAGTACCTGAAACCTAGTGGAAGATAAGCTACGGGAAAGCATGAGACTGTATTAAAGGAGGCATTTTTTTATGACGATATTTTAAGCATAGCTCAGCGAGAATGCACCTCCACAATCAGAAATTTAAAGATAAGAATATATTTTACAAATTGGCCACTCAGAGGCTAAGCACAGTGGCTTATGCCTATAATCCCAACACATTGGGAGGTTAAGGTGGCAGAATCACTTGACCCCAGGAGTTCAAGACAACTTAGTCAATATAGGATAATCTCTACAAAGAAAACAAACAAAAAACACTTGACCACTCACCATGGCGCATTCTAGAACCAGACTAGAACTATCCACTGCATCCACACAGATTAGAAAAAAAAAATTGCACATAATATTATGAAATAATCATATTGTGAAACAGCTAAAATGATCGGGGATAACAAAAACAAGAAAAGAGACATTTATAGACAGCAATTGCTTTGCTCATAAAAAAATATACAGAATAATGGAATGATAAAACAATAGACTCATGATGAGTGGGGTGGCTAACTTGAAAGATGAATCCAAGCACATAATCCAAACACATAATCACAAAGCAGACGGAAAAGGTGCATTGAAAAGTAGCGAACAGAATTGAAATAGCAGAAACCAAGTAAATTATGTGAAGACAGGCTTGACAGCACTCAAATCACACCCAGAGAAGAACAGCCAGGTAGGTGAAAGAAGAAAAGAGAGATGAAAAGTATGAAGGACACCAGGGGAGCTTATCTTGGGGAAACTTTATGAGGGGTCCTCATAAACAGGATAAGCCAAATGAAACAGAAAAATAATTACAGATATGATAGAAGAACTAATAATTTAACTGACAGAGGACTTGCTCCTACAGATGGAAAGATTTGAATGTATACCGGGTAAAATTAAGTCACAGGGGCTAAGCATACATACCCTAGTGAAATAATGGAATCTAAAGAGTGAAGATACAATCTTACATGTATATTCACATAACAAAGTACCCTATATTCTCAACTATATGAAAATCAGTGATGACTCTGAGTAGAAAACAGTCCTGTATTCTCTTAATGAGACAATTAAAAATATAGGGCCAACTTCGAAATATAATTCAAGTTCTACTACGAATAATTAATTTCTGCGGCTTTAGTATAATTTAACCTATCAGGTTAAACCATAAGAAATTGTCAGCTTTTGACTTTTACTTACAGAAAAACGAACAAACAAGGTAAACAAACAGGCAAGCAAATGAACAAACAAAACAATTTTCTATGGATCAATCTAAAACTCCTACCAAGTTCAGTATCTTCTGTGTAAGCTTGGTGAGTAATGGCTCTTTTGAATATGTGTTAATATACAATCAATAGAAATTTTATATGCATCTGAAAGTTTTCATTTTAATAATATCAGGGCAGTTTTAGAAACATCCTAAAGATTTTTTTTTTTAGCAATGTAACTACACACCCTAATTCTTTTAAAAATAATTTTCGGGTGGCTCATTTATAATGAAACACAGCACTTACAGGCATAACGCAGTGCCCCCAGGAATAATGAAGAGAACTCAGTTAAAATCCTTTGTCTGCTGAATGTCATTAGATGAGATTTGTGAGCCTCCCAAATTAGCACTGATTGAGGTGGTTTCATCCTAATGTGTCTCTGCAACAAGATTCTGTATTCCTTCTAGGAGAGATGCCTTAAGGACTCTGTAAAAGTCACCTCTCTCTGTGCTGAGTCTGGCTTCAGATTTCTCTCTTGTATCATGAGAAATTAGAACTGAAGAAAAAGAAAGATTCAAGGTTTTCAAATGCCATATTCAGCCAAGAAGTGATACACTTGTGAAGACTGAAAGACTGCCTAACTTGAGAAGAATCACACCCATGAACACTGTCTGAAACAAACTTAATAAAAAACATATAACTATTCTATGAAATCAGTCTCTGAATATTATAATTTTTAGAAAAAGTGATATTTCACGTGAGAATAAGTAATTTACCTAAAACAGACTTCAATCAAAACCCAGAATTTGGACCTGGAAGTGAAAACTGGACATTCAACATAACTGGTATATTCACAAAAGCTATTAAAGTGATTAAAAGCCTAGTTTTAATTCCATTTTAGTACTGTTACATCCTTGATCTTGAGTGCATTACTAAAAACTCTGTGGTAGTACTCCTTATTTACATTGAATAATACTGAATCTGCCTCATGTGATTGCCATGACATGAGTATATTCCTTCATGTGAAGTTCTGAGAACAGGGTCTGGTCACACCAACATGGAATTGCTATAATTATTGTTCCCACTGCAAGTACTAGGAAATCAACAGAGAATATTGCATTTTCCAGGATGATTACTCAGGAAATAAGAGCTTGGCAGTGGGATTTGTTGTAATTTTTATTCCAAATACTTTTCTTATTTATACTGTTTCATTTCTTTCTGAAGTCAATATGTATATTTCTTAGTGAATTTTAATTATAGAGAAATTAAAACAAATGCCAATAACTATGAAATTAATTTTTAAAAACAAACTTAAATTTTTCATAAAACAGTTTATGTTCAATCATTTGTTCAAAATCAATAGTCCTCATCCTGGGGATTATATGTGGTAAATTGTGTAAGTGTCTGAGTTCTGGATTACTGCATGCCAAAAACTTAGGGAAATAAGATAAGGAAAAGAAAACTTATCCCAAATGAAAGACACATTGAATGCCAGAATCAATTATTTAAATCTCTCTATAGTAAAATGTTATACATTTTATACAGTGTTTATTTTCCTGGTAATCTTTTATAACGTAGTCATTGTAAAGTTCTACTTGGTAGATGATAACCTATGGAAACAGCATATCTCAGTAGGGCATCAGAACTAGTTGCCATCGAGCACAACACTCAATCTACTGCCTTTGGTATTCAATCAGATTGGCATTAGTATCCCACATGGAGTCAGGACACATACAAATTCCGAACAGAAAGCACATTCAACATTTGATGACATGTGTTAAGCAAATATCAATATTAGCCGAAATACTTCAGTGTTCACATCAATAATAAGCAGTGTGATAAACAAGGTGAATGCTCGGGAAATGAATCAGTTTTAAGAAAAGTCTTCTAAATTTAATAGAGGTGCCAATATTTGAAGGTCCTGTATAAATATTCCTCCAAATATGTTAGTAAAATTCCAAGCCTCAAGTGAACATGTTATATGCTAAACTTTCTACCTAGATCAAAAATCCCTTAAAGCATTTATTTCACTGTTCTATACCAAACAAACATTTGATAAAGTGTCACGGTTATTGATGACAATGAAAAATGAAAATTGTAATGACAATGGAGGTGCTGCTACTGTTTTAGTACCACCATGGTCTTGCTAGAGGGAAAGCAAGAGCTTGAAAGGAGGAGAGATGGAAAACAACCTTGGAGAAGACTTACAAGTAATCTTAAAGATTTGTAAGGCTGCATTTTTAATAAATTCAGTGGTTAGAATAATAATGCTGTATTTCCAAACACACATAGAAGTCAAAACGAACAGACTGAAAGGCAGAGATTTGCCCCCCAGCTGCGCAGGGATCATCAGACCATTATTGAGATGCTTATCCTCTGCAAAATGGCTTGTGTTGAAATTATTTTTTAAGGGCATCATTTCTTTTAGAAAAACCTCATTACTAATTTGCCAATTGAATATCCCATAAGATATTGGAAAGCATTAGTGAATATAGAGTGAGTATTTTGATTTAAAAAACATGTGCATCCCCTGTTGTTCAATAATGATGGGGATGAATAACATCTACTTTAGATTTTCAAATGTAATTTATGGTGATAAGACTTTTAGACAGGGGATGGATGAGCTGATGGATGATATACATATAGTTGAAACTCAGGTAATGACTGTGGCATGTTTTGCATTAGGTTATGATAATGTGAAAACAATCAAAGTAATATTTTTTTAAAAACTGCCAAGAAGAAAAGTGAAATAATAAACTCCATTATATCAAGTGCTCTGATTTTTCAAATGCTTTCAACATCTTCAGTTCTAGTTTAGTAGGTGCTTTCCCTAACACAACACAACCAGTTGAAATCTTCAGTGGGGAAGAGGAGGGAGTGATGTTAGGGACATTTTCAGATTTGACATTGAATAACCCATATATCAGCTCTGTAAAGTACAGTAATGACAGAAGAAGGTAGATAAATTAACTCCTGCTTTTTAAAAAATATTATTTCTATATTGTCTGATTTTTAAAAAGTTATTTATATAATTAGCTATATAATAAAAAGTTATATATTTTTTAATGACGTAAAAATCAGTATTCTTATAGATTTGGCAACAGAGAATATCTACAATTAATGACTCTTGGAGATATAAGATTGGATGAGGGTACTTTTCATGTGAGTGAAATTGATTTTACAAATCTACAAATTCTGTCGACGGGATAGTTTTTTTTTTTTAATTTTCGAGTCTTGATCTGTCACCATGCTGGAGTGCATTGGCATGATCTCAGCTCCACTTCCCAGGTTCAAGCGATTCTCCTGCCTCAGCCTCCTGAACAGCAGGGCCTACAGGAGGACACCACCAGGCCCAGCTAATTTTGTAGTTTTAGTAGAGACGGGGTTTCACCATATTGAACAGGACAGTCTTAATCTCTTGATCTGGTGACCTGCCCGCCTCAGCCTCCCAGAGTGTTGGGATTACAAACATAAGTCACCACGCCCAGGCTTAGAATTTTTTTTTCCTCAGGTATTCAGTATATATTATGAAGACTATCAGAACAAACAGAAAATCTTTTAAACTGATTATCACTAAAAATTTGCCTAAACACTCAAAGCCAAAAAAACGTGGATTAAAAAAAAATCGACTAACCAAAATCTCTTCACATCCATATTTAGCTACAATATATCCAACTGGTCAATAATTAACCAATATTCACACTGAAGCTCTACAGGTCCTTCACAGGCCATCATGAGCTCCCAAGACCTTTTTCTTTTTGAGGCATGAGATTGGAGATATTATCTATTAAAATATTTTTAACATGTATGTCCTTTGACCTAACAACTTTCACTATACAGATCTTTATATACTTTGGCAAAGTGATATATGTATATTATTCCATGCACAATTGTTTATAAGAGCAAGAAACGAGAAACAATGCAGATGTCTTCCAATAGGGGGCAGGCTATAGAAACTGCAGCACATCCAGACTAACTCCTGCTTTATCCACCCATTCATTTCCATTAGTTCTCCAACACAGAAGATACCTCAGTCAGTTCTTTAGTGATATAATCTCCTTAATTTTTCTTCATAGATTTTTTCTTCATCACAATTGTCTTTACATACTTATGTGCTCGATAATGTGCATGTGTGTGTTTTGTTTTCATCTGCTTTCTTCCGTATTTTATGAAAAAAAAAAAAAAATCTGCAGCTGCTTCCACTAACTTCCCACCTCTGGAAGACAACATACAATAACAACCCAAATATTTTATAATTCCCTGGCAGACAGCAAATGCCACAGACATGTAACGTGCAAAGCCTGACAATCTCAGTGCATGGTATGATAAGTTTCCATTGTATAAAGTGCTCTGGTTTTTCATCCATGTGGGCTGTTAGAAAAAAGGATCAAGTTCACATCTAAGAAGATGGGGACTCTGTAATGAAGCCAAAGAGAAAATAAATTGGCACAGCTAGATGTTGTTCTGGGTAGCAGGTAGGTGGGCAAGGGCACAGTATTCAAAAAGGTGTTTCTAGCTAAGGCATACTTATTATAGGTGACTCAGTCTAGTGGAGAATGCATAGGAGCCGAAATGGAGAAAACAGTCATATGAAGGAGGGCAGGAGATGTTGATCATAGTACCAGGGGCCCCACATTCCAACTGAAGTTTAGGTACAGGCACCAACTCTAGCATATTTAGACAAGACGACCAGACAGAAAGTAAAAATAGGAGTCCTTTGTGGACATTGAGTGCTAAATACTAGAGAAGCAATGTGTAGAGAAACAGGCTGGAAGGAAGATAATATTTATTAGAAACCTTTTTCTATGCTTTGCTTATGAAAATGGAGGGCATGGGTGGTGAAATAAAGTGAGAGCACTTAACTCTCTCTTGTCCCAGTGAAGCCTTGAATCTAGGTGGCAAGGTTCTCTCTAGCATCGGGAACTTCTCGCACACCCTGGCCTTTACAGGCTTGGAGAATACACCCTGTGAGCATTTATGTGACTAGAGTCATATAAGAAAGTGCTGCATGGAGATCTACCTTCTTCCACCAATGCTGCAGTCACAGGCTCGGAATTGGGGGTTGTCTTTGTTTTTCTCCTGCAAGTAGTATGTATGGAGTAAGAGGAGATAAAATCATTTGTTCTCCTTTTTTTGATCAGAGTCTCTTTGACTGTGAATCTTTGGTGAAGGATAATGTTTTGAGAAAGTTCAATATTAAAATGTTCTTTTCCCTGAAGTAACCATCACCCCAATAATTTATAAAAATCAATCAGTAATGGATAGGATAATAATCAAACCTCATTACTAAGTTTAACAGGTTGGTCTAGGAATCTCAATGGGAACATAAGTCCTGAGTTCCAGACATATAATTTCAAAAGAGTCCTATGGGATCATCTGTTTTCTTATGTCAATGTTACTTTTATTTATGTTAGCTTCCAGTTTTTTTTTAGGTTTAATGAAGTAGTACTCAAAATAGTTTATTAAACAATTAAAACAAACAAGAACTTGGCTTTCTAACACCTGAATTTTTAGTCCTTTGAATAAAACTGAAAGCTATTCTCATTCAGTGTCACTCCCCACATACACATACCTTTGAGACAGTGGAAGTCGCCTCACTTGCTGTCCTCATGCCAAAACCCAGGAGACTAAGAGAAAAAGAAAAGCAAAGCCTTAAGTCTGAGGTATTTTATTCAACCCCATGACCTATGATAACATAAAGAAATTCATTTTC